TCCATTCACCTTTGTTATCTTTAATATGGCTAATCACTTGCACTGTTGTCATCCCTGTAATTTTATTTTAAAATAAACGGTATATTAACACAAGAAGACATTGTTTGATAAAATTCATTTATTCAAATTCAGTAAAACAAATCCCTCATTTGTAGTCAACACCACATGGGACCGAACTGCTTTGGATTGGAACCATATTATTTTAAAAAAGTGTATTAAACACCTCATTTTTAGTAAAATACACTCTTGGTCAAGTCAGACCATGATGAGAGTCATGCTTTGTTCACTAAAAAAACTGAGTGCGAAGTCCGATCCTGCTATCTTAACTTTGTATTTGAATTTTAATTAATATAATTTTAATGAATAAACATTTATAAATTTGTCTGATCCCTACAAGATACCATTCTTCTTACTTTTCATAATGAGGGTGATGAAAACCCCTCACAAATAGAACAAAACAAATTTTCAAATCAATAAATATTTAGAACTGGATCAGGTCTATGCAAAAAGCATGTAAAATAGAAGTTCAATGTATTGTATGCTCTATATCTTCACACCTAAAAAATGAGTTCCACAATTGCCTATGGTAATTGTTATCTGAGACTCTAGGAATATACATAAACAATTCTATAATATGCATTTTGCTACTGTAATCCACTCTGACAAAATTTGATCGCCCTATTCTTGTGGATTTCATACATATGGATAATTATTGGAACTATAAATTCATATAATTTTAAAAATTATACTAATATTGACTTCCATGACATAATAAAATACTTTTAAACACAATCATTTTTTTAAAAAATTAATTTAAAGAAAAGTTGCATACTAAAGAACATGATTGTTAAGCCCTAATGGCATGATAAAGCTTATTTAAATTCAGGAAGAACAAAAAAATGGTATTCAAACATTTCACATACCTCGAAGGAGATGTGCTAAGTTAGTGCGTCAACCCAATGTGTATGAAAGTTACTTGTTTCCCTTATGAAAACCATAATAAAAAGCACATTTGAAAAATAAAATATGAATAAAACCTATGCACAATAGTCAATACTTCTTTGTATGACACTACATTTGTTAACCTTTCATGGAATGAGTTTTATGGGTATCTCACCGCTGTGGTTCAGGGATTCAGTTTTATTAATCTGTCTAAAAACTATTTTAAACTGCCTCCAAAATGTGAAAAATCATAGGGGCGGAGTGAATGTGGTTCGTTCTACAAGTCGAGGGGGCTGATGTTTGATTCTGGGCAGCCAAATGCCACCCAACCTCCTCATCCTCTTCCTCCAAGACACAATAAGAGCCACAGAAAAACAAAGTTGAGATTAAAGTGGTGATGGAAATATTAAATCACTCTCTAACCCCCTACCTTGGTTGGTTCCCTTGACATTGGGAATCAATGTCATGGGATGACCCGATGGTGTTCGGGTTCCCTGCTCATAAATTTGATGGTTCCTACCCTCGATGGCCCCGACACGAACACACACACCCCACCCCCTTCAATTGCACCCCCAAGTTAATTTTGACTTTGAAGGGGATGGGGGGGTTTACCAAGGGGGTAGGTACCGTCAATTTTACGAACGGGACACTGGAGCACCTCCGGGTCATCCCATGACATTGATTTCCAATGTCCTGGGAATCGGCCCCTTATATGTAATCTAATAACTTAGGTGATAGAGATTGGGCCTCGTACGTCAGGTACGTGCGCGCAGTGTATATACATAAGTAAAGCAAAACCTAGTTCATCACTCGAACTATGGCCGGAATAATGTCTGGACAAATTAAATCAAAACAATGCTAACACTTAAAATAACTGTTGATATTCTTAAAGAGGTTGTTGTTTTTGTTGTTGTTATTATTATTATTATTATTATTTATTATCAAATATTATTTACATCTTAGCTTTCTTCTAGCACATATTATGTTTAGACCGACCATGGTGTCCATAACCATTTAAAGCCTCATGTGATCATACTCCTTTCTCTTTAAGCATCAAACTTTTCATCATCGAGAATTCTCACTTCTTCTCACCACGTGGTCCACAAACGTTTTTATTACAATAGTCATAGCCAATGTAGGAATTTGGTTCATCATTGAGAACTCTAATATCTACTGTAACCCAAACTCCTTTGCCCTAAATTTGGAGTGTGAAATTTAAAACTTAATCCACACGAGAAAATATAATACATATCTAATTTCAGTCATTCGATGCTCAACCATGGTGCATACCTGGGTATTCACTTGGCAAACCGCAGAAAGTTTTAACTTTGGGTAGTGCATTTAGAGCATCTTTATATGCCTTCAGGCCAATGAACCTCTTGAAAAGGTCTATGCTGTCATCTCGCCTATTAAAGTGTTATTATAAGTATTACATTCAAATGGATGTGATTTCTACTATTTATTCTAAACATAAGAGTATGTTCATACCATTTCTTAAGGGATTCAAATGTTGTATGAGCAGGGTCCACTTCAAACATTGCATCAAATCGAGAAGACAGAGAAACACCTGTTAGAAATCCACATCAACTTATTGTCGGTTAATTCAATAATTCTTTTTCTATGTTTATAAACTTTGCTAAATAATATATTACCATTAAAGGCAGTAAAATTAACCCTTTTTACAATAATTATTTGGAAATGCCTAGTTTCTAAGAGGGACGTGATTTCCTTCCCTTGGTTCGTTGCAAACTCTTCCCACAGTGTAAGCAGCATAAGCTTCATTCTATTCAAGCAATCATTCAAAATGTTATTTCTGTGTATCTTTAAATATTTTTTCATGCGGATTACTTACTCCTCATAAAAAATGGTGAAATCATGTGCTATTTTTTCCTGTGAATCCAACTGAGATGTACTCTCTCGGTATTTTTCTATGACAACGGCCAGGAAATTTGTATACAAAAGTACAGATCTGATGCAAAGTGGTAGTAAACAACTGTATATCTATATAAGAAAAGATAAATTAAATGAGTTACTTATGGGGGTTTTACTTGCACTAATGCCGTAAAACTCATTAAATGGTGGCAGCATCTCTTTTACCTCATCTGGTATTTTAATCTGTTCAAAATCTGGAACTGGGTCAATATATGTCTGTTTACTAATCATCCAGATGTATTTATAGTAGGGAGATGGTGATGGGACATTGCATTTAGTCGGCATCATAGCAGCATTTGTTATTTTATATATTTTATGGATATCCAATACTCGATTAACTTGATCAATGTCTCCACTATTCACCATAGTGAGAACCTTCGCGCCCTATTATTTTAAAATAAATACATCAAATTAACATAATCAAAAGCCAGGTTTTGTAATATTCTATGTTTAGTTCGTTTATGATATAAAAACACTTACTTCATGATCTTGCAATACATAAGGTCTATACTTATTTGTTCCGCTTCTCAACAACTCCATTCACCTTTGTTATCTTTAATATGGCTAATCATTTGCACTGTTGTCATCCATGTAATTTTATTTTAAAATAAATGGTATATTAACACAAGAAGACATTGTTTGATAAAATTCATTTATTCAAATTCAGTAAAACAAATCCCTCATTTGTAGTCAACACCACATGGGACCGAACTGCTTTGGATTGGAACCATATTATTTAAAAAAAGTGTATTAAACACCTCATTTTTAGTAAAAAACACTCTTGGTAAAGTCAGACCGTGATTAGAGTCATGCTTTGTTCACTAAAAAAACTGAGTGCGAAGTCCGATCCCGCTCACTTAACTTTGTATTTGAATTTTAATTAATATAATTTTAATGAATAAACATTTATAAATTTGTCTGATCCCTACAAGATACCATTCTTCTTACTTTTCATAATGAGGGTGATGAAAACCCCTCACAAATAGAACAAAACAAATTTTCAAAGCAATAAATATTTAGAACTGGATCAGGTCTATGCAAAATGCATGTAAAATAGAAGTTCAATGTATTGTATGCTCTATATCTTCACACCTAAAAAATGAGTTCCACAATTGCCTATGGTAATTGTTATCTGAGACTCTAGGAATATACATAAACAATTCTATAATATGTAGTTTGCTACTCTAATTCACTCTGACAAAATTTGATCGCCCTATTCTTGTGGATTTCATACATATGGATAATTATTGGAACTATAAATTCATATAATTTTAAAAATTATACTAATATTGACTTCCATGACATTAAAAATACTTTTAAACACAATCAATTTTTTAAAAAATTAATTTAAAGAAAAGTTGCATACTAAAGAACATGATTGTTAAGCCCTAATGGCATGATAAAGCTTATTTAAATTCAGGAAGAACAAAAAAAAGGTATTCAAACATTTCACATACCTCGAAGGAGATGTGCTAAGTTAGTGCGTCAACCCAATGTGTATGAAAGTTATTTGCTTCCCTTATGAAAACCATAATAAAAAGCACATTTGAAAAATAAAAGATGAATAAAACCTATGCACAATAGTCAATACTTCCACGTATGACAATGCATTTGTTAACCTTTCATGGAATGAGTTTTATGGGTATCTCATCGCTGTGGTTCAGGGATTCCGTTTTATTAATCTGTCTAAAAACTATTTTAAACTGCCTCCAAAATGTGAAAAATCATAGGAGCGGAGTGAATGTGGTTTGTTCTACAAGGTGAGGGGGCTGGTGTTTGATTCTGGGCAGCCAAATGCCACCCAACCTCCTCCTCCTCTTCCTCCAAGACACAATAAGAACCACAGAAAAACAAAGTTGAGATTAAGGTGGTGATGGAAATATTAAATACTCTCTAACCCCCTACCTTGGTTGGTTCCCTTGACATTGGGAATCAATGTCATGGGATGACCCGAAGGTGTTCGGGTTCCCTGCTCATAAAATTGATGGTTCCTACCCCCCCGATAAACCCTCTCGATCGCCCCGACACGAACACACACACCCCACCCCCTTCAATTGCACCCCCAAGTTAATTTTGACTTTGTAGGGGATGGGGGGTGGGGGGGGGGGTTTACCAGGGGGTAGGTACCGTCAATTTTACGAACGGGACACTGGAGCACCTCCGGGTCATCCCATGACATTGATTCCTAATGTCCTGGGAACCGGCCCCTTATATGTAATCTAATAACTTAGGTGATAGAGATTGGGCCTAGAGCTCCCATGCCTGCCACAGAAATACTCCTAAAGATATAAAATGCTAGGTTATTTTCCCTCCAGTATTTTTAAACCATAAATAAATACTTTTCATTAAATGATAAGAAATTAGGTTATGGTGCTGACCACATGAAGCTTGGTAAAAATTTTTATTCAATAAATAAGTTATTACTTCAAAGTTGGGAGCTTAAAATTTTGAGAAATGGTTGAATAATCCAAGTATAAATTCCTCTAATTTTTAAACTTATACTCATACTCACTACCAGAATAAAATAATTTTTAACACAATATTTTAAAAATCAATTTAAAGGAAAAATGACTACTGAAGAACACAGCAGCATGATTGCTAAACCCTAATAATATGTGAGTATGCTGGATTTACAGCATGGAAAAGCTTAAAGAAATTCAGGAAAATGACAGAAAAATGATATTCAAACATTTCACAAACACCTGCAAGCAGATGTGCTAATTTAGTGCACCAACCCACTGTAGATTAGTCCTATTCCTTGTGTGAAATTTTAGAAATTTCCTAAAATGACAAATAATTTAGGACAAGAAGGATTAAAAGGGTGGGATCTTTTCCAAATTATAAAATGAGTGCATGTGTGTGGCTTTATATCTTTGCCAGTGGCCTCATTTCTGATGTGCCAATCACCATGCAAATCAGATCCAAAAGATGAATTACTCTGTTCCAAAATATTATGAGCCGAGTAGCCTTCCCACGGTCATAATAGACAAAATTCATGGTTTTTTATGAAGACCAATTGTAGATCCTATGTCAATGTTGGCATGCCCATGTTTATTTTAAACAACAGATAATTGGACAGAATAAATAAAGAGGGCTAAACTGGAAGTACAAGTAAAAGTTAGGAACCCAATTGCAAGGATTAAAGGATGGGGATAAAATTGGGAATGTTGCAAAAGAATAGGGATCAACAACATCAGAGCTAATTAAGTGAAAATGTTGGACAAGCACCGACTTTACAACCGCATGTTGAACAGGAAAAAAATACACAATTGCATGTTGAACTTTTTATATATTTGGCAAAATAGGTTGATACTACTCGAACATGTCAAACCTCATAACCGATCATATTTAGCATCACCTAAAGGTTAC